TTTCGGTAATTAATTACACTCAGTTGGTTTTGTCTATCTTGACTAGTTTTTGCCACGCCCGCTCAGAACCAACTGAGCGTTTATATAAACGCTAAATTTGTAAATATTAGGTCAGTTTTAATCATCTGCTGCGCGTCCAGTGTAAAATTAGAAGTGTTTTGGTGTATTGTGGTGATTTAGTGTTTTATTTTGCAGTTCCAACTCCTAACTGTAATAAGTTAGTAGTATATTTAATAAAGTACAAAACTCACGTTCTTAATAGCACTTAAGGGACATAAAGGGCCATTACTACCCCTTTTCCGTTCAAAATATTCTAATAAAGTTGGGATGAGTTTTAGGCTATTAAGCTATCTTGTATACTTCGCGCTAAAAGAGGTTCTAAAATGACCGATGCTCGACTGCAAGGTCTGCTAGTAAAAATGTTTAAACTTAAAGTATAACAATATGATTCATTTAAACCATAAACTCGTAATACAAAACTAAAATGTCAAAACGAATGACAATGTCAGGAAATAAATAAATAAATGTGACAACTTGACATTTTTTACAGCTGAATCCCCAGAGGGAAATTAAAATTCCTGTTAGTCAGCCCGGCGCCGAAAATGTCCATGGTTGGCAACACTGAAAAATCGCGCACCTTTGATTACGTAACTAAAAGTTTAATTGGTATAAAATATAATTATTAGTTAGTGAAATACAAACGAACCCATGACTGCTCTATTGATAAAAAGGTGACATAGGCAAGAGGTAATATAATTTTTTTAATAACCGAAAAATGTTATAAAACTAATTATTAAAAAAGCAAATCATATAGCTAGAAAAGGAGCGAAAACTCCACTAACTGGGCCAGAACCGTTCTATTTTCCAAGCGGAAACCAACTAATGCCGAAACTGAGGCACCTGGAAGACTCCATCCGTAACCTGGAATGGGTGTCCTCCAACGGGTGTCCTCCAATGGGTGTCCTACAACGGTTACACTCGAAAAAATTCCTCAGAGCTTACGACCGAGAAAAATCAAAGATTCAATCTTCGGATTGTCCGCGGGGTTTCTAACAAGATACTCTATCCTGAACTAACACCTCAGTAGGCTGAAGCTGAGGAACAACAGCGAATGCAGATTCTGTGGGGAAAATGGGGAAACACCTTATCATAGGGGAAGATCTTATTACTAAGTGCGCCGAGAGGACGGCCGTTCGTGTCATGAACTTTGACACGGCTGATGTCGAGGATGGAGAACTGGCCTCTGTAGAGCCGTCTCAGATACTGGCTTTTGTTAAAGCCTTCAGACTGTATGATGAGTTGTAACTCTCTATAACCCAAGAAAGAGGAACACACAATAGATCTGTAAGGTCGCGGTGATTAACTCCCTTCCTAAACATTCTACATTCTACAATTACTAAAAACAGGTAGTCTTACCTTGAGGCCTATAAATACGAGTTATACTGAAACAAACAAACTAATCTTTATAAATTTATTCCATTCACTGAAGATTTATTTCTTGAATACCAGACGCACTTCAATTTATATCAGGACTAAAGCGCTTTTATAAAGCTTTCTCTATCCATTTAGCGAAATCCTTTACGCGGATAATCAACTGGTAATTAAAGTAGAAATGGCGGGACAGGAATCAATTCAGGAAATTAGTCAGTGACTGGCTCTGCAAACAATGACCGTGAAAGAGAGGAAGGTCTATTCGTCTCGCGCAAAATGGGAAAATGAAACTTTGCCCGATTGGAAGTTAGAAAAGAAATCAAGTGAACGTAATGCCGTTTGTCTAAAGATGGGCACTAACTCTGCCACCCGATCGCTTATCAGCTTTCTACACCAACGACTTGTTATATTTACTTCTTTTTTTTTTGAGAAAAGAATCTTTATCGGTCGGTTGGTTTATGAAACTGGCTGATATTATTTTAAGCTGGCTAATCCCTTTTTATTCTCTATCCGTTAAATACAAACGGTTGTCATGATCTGTGAATCAATTCTTTATTATGCAGATTAACTCAGAGATCGCTGGATAATATCGCAGCACCGGAAGAAGTATGAGGTTTCTGTTTTGGGTCTGCAAGGGTCTGTTTTGGGAATAGTACTCTGGAATATCTTCTATAATAAAATATTAGAAACTGAAACGGAAAGAGGAATATCCCTAATTGCATACGTAGGTGACCTAGCGATTGTAACTAGGGCAAAATCTAAAACAGAGCTGGAAGACAAAACTCAGCATGTTATGAAATTGAGAATGTAAAAACTGGCGGAAATGGTGATGCAAGTGGCGATAAAAAAACCGAATTGGTATTATTATATGGTAGAAGAAAGTTACCCACAATACAGATAGGAATTGACGAGTATTATATACAGAGTCAACAAGCAATCAAGTAGCTAGGAATGTATTTAGACAAAGACGTACGAATGACGGCACATATTAAAAGAATTAGTCAAGTGCGAGTCGGATTCACGAAGGGTTCCGTACCATTCATTATATATACAACATTAGACACTATATTATTATAAACTTTTTTTTTATTATTTAGCTGAAATTTTGAATGCGCGTATAAGTAATTTAAAAAAAAATGAAAAAACACATTACAAAAAATTGTATTAATCAATAATAAATATGTAAAAAGTAAAAATTAATATGTAAAAATACGTAAATATTAAAAAAAACATTAAAAAACGTCGCCTTGACTAGGATTCGAACCTGCCTTACTACGGCTCCAACGTCATAGCAGCAGAAAGTCCTAACGCTTTAACCACGCGGCCACCCAGGACTTGAAAGATTCTATGTGAAATTCTTATTTAAAAGATAATGTTTAGTGAAAGTACTTTTTTTATTTATAAACATTTATTTAATTCTGTTTTTAGTATTTGTTCTTATAGCGGCAACATAGATACATTATCTGTGAAAATTTCAACTGTCTAGCTATAACGGTTCATAAGATAGACCTTTGTGACAAATGGACGCACGGACGGACAGCGAAGTCTTAGTAATAGGGTTCCCGTTGTCTTTCATTAAAAATATTAGAAAATGGTGTAAAAGAAAATGGGGTGATATGAATTTTTATACATCACAGGATATGACTAGTCATGGGGTCTTTGGCTCATACCTGCAAAGAATACAAAAAACAGCAGGATGCATGTTGTTGGTTTTGCGCAGAAGAGGTGGATACCCCAGAACACACATTGTTTATATGTCCAAAGTGAAACACACAGGGTACAAATGTACAACGAGATTGGGCATAAAATTAAGAAAGAGAACGTAGTAGAAGTCCTGCTAAGAGCCTAGAACAAGTGGAAAAATATCAGCAGGCTAATGACAAATAAATGAAGGAAAAGATAGGGGAGGAAAAGTATAGAGACATAGACAATAGAGGCTTTGTAAGGTTGAAGTAATGCTTACGGTAGTTCTAACCGCACTTTAGAGAGAAAACATGGGAAAGGGTTTTAGTCGGTCGCTACAAGCAAACCCGACACAACCCCCGCCGCTATTTCATTTAAATACAAACTCGAGCCTCCGCATTATATGAGAGGCGCCACCCTGTATACTCTGTATACATTTTGGAAAAAAATCTTTCTTACAAAAGAAATTTCACTTGAAAATAAATCATGGTATAGACTTCAAATGTAAATCATAATAAAGGCCCGTCGCTTGACGTGATATTTCTGAAAAAAAGTGCAAATACCCACAAAAATCCTTCTGCAACCCTATGATTGGAAATGTGTCTCGGCCCCATCCATCTTCATAAAAGGAAAGATTGTTAAATATGCCTAAAAATATGGCTCGCCCTTCGTCTTTGTCGCGCGCGGAACAGCGTCACGTTGCACCCATACGTCAGGCAACATTATCGAGGAATACGCTACTCCTTTCACTTATAAGTTACAAATGACGCGAAGTTTTTGCAGATCTCGCATTGCCTGTCATGTCGCATATTGGTTTTCCTTCCCCGAAAACTGCCATATATTACGGCTGCTTGGCACGTTATTGAAACGGAACTTTTACACAAGGTTATCATAAATTAGAAAATACAAGTCCTTTGTCAGTTGATTTTTATTGGAGATTTCGTTACTGTTGGGATATAATAATATACAGGGTGGTACGAACTGTATTGCGGAAACTTCGGTAGCGTATTTTGCAGATGAAAATAAGTAAAAAAGTTCGTATAAATGTACCTATGTTAATGGTTTTTTAAACAACTACCACTGCGAACCTTGAAGCGATGTTGACAGCCCTCCACAGAAGCAGTGAAACGATAACAGGGTTGTCGACTAGAGAACGTAAAAATTACGCCAAGCGCGTCAAACAAATTATCAGGCCTGAACGATACGGAATCCGGTGACAATACGCTAGACATCATATAGCATATATAAAAAAAATGTAACGAACTAAAAACGTTACAATGTCGTATATATTGAAAAATACAGAAATGTATGTCGAGTTTCAGACATACAGGGTGTAGAAGTTTCATTTTTATTTCGAGAGAGATTGCTTCCTAATAATTTCTGAAGTAACGTCAATATTTGGATGAAAGTTGGTGTTTTTTGACATGAGAAATTTGATTTTGCTATCAATGACTCCTATTTCTAGTAGGCCCCACATACATTTTTTTTTTGAGGGGGTGGTAAAAAACCTTTTATAGGAGAGTGGTGTTCGTTCCTATCACCATCTCGAGAGAGACGATCATAGAGACGAACCCCAAACAGTGTGGGAGTCGAATTGTTACCCACTAAAAAAGTCCACCTCCGAGGAGTCAGCTCCTCCTCTCCCCTTACCCGGAACCGCCGCAAGGCATTACTTCGGGTTCATACGTGATATTGGGATTTATATCTTATCTGTGTTAATTTTTTATCTATATTCTATCCTATTTATTTTTAGGACACTTCCGCATTTCTTGCCTTTTCATCTTTTCCTTCCTCTATTATTATTTCTTTCCTAAATGCTCCTACATTTCCCCATATTTCGCTAGTTTTGGTCATTTTCATAATCAGGGTGCCCGAAGTTAACATTCCTACATCCGACAACAAGACAGACCTTTGTTTCTGCCGTTTTCCCATCTTGGACAGCAGAACAACGTATGCTCGGCATCGTCGATTTCGTCGCAGTACATGCAGTTGCCATTTGGTATTTTCTTTATTCTGTGCAAGAAGTCCATGAAGACTCCATGCCCGGAAAGAAAATGCGTAATGTAATATTCCACGTCTCCGTGTTTCCTACTTGTCCAGTCCTCCACGTTGTGTATTAACTTTCTAGTCCACCTTCCTTTGTCGGATGTATCCCACTCCTCTTACGATTTTTGATAGGTACCTCGTCGTTGCTGTCTTTTCACCTCATCGTTAATCTCTGCTTTGACATATAAGTCTCGCTTTTCCTCAGCTGCTAAATGCAGGGGGATCAGCCCAGCTATAACCAACACGGCATCTGTTGATATCGTACGATACGCTGAACAGATCCTTAGGGCCATTTTTCTCTGTGTGGAAAGCAAAATATTTTTCGTCCGTTGAAATTTTAGTGCCTCGACCCATACAGGAGCGCCGTATAGAATTATATTTTGCATTGATACCGCAAGAACTTTCCTTTTTTTTGAGCTTCGAAAGTAATCCACATATAGCTTTGACAGTTCTGTTTGCTTTTCCGCAAGCATCTTTTACATGTTGACTGTAAGTTAGCCCTCTATCTAGTGTTATTCCGAGGTATTTTACTGTATTAGTTGGTTTAACGTACTTCCCACCGACAATTTGCATACCACCTATCCTTCTTTTTCAGTTTAGAAGAATAGCAGTTGTTTTCTCCGGTGCAACTTCCAACTAGTTTTGATTCATCCACAAGTATATATAATGTAAAGCCTCTACGGTTTTGCGTATCATTCCTTCGGAGGTTTCAGCTGTGGTTAATACAGCCAGATCATCTGCGTAGCAGATTATTTTTACCCATTGAGGTACCCTTATTTCCATTACCCCACATACATGTATTTTAACTCTTTTGAAGAGAACTTTCCGTCTGTACCTGGATAAAACTACCGAGTGAAAAAAAAATACATTTCCGTTATTTTTTATGCAAAAAATGCATATACCGAACGGTTCTAGCATAACAAGATGTACCTTGCATAAAGGCTATATTCGGGGGACTTTTGTTATAATATTTATAGGTCTTTAGCCAACAATTATCTATAATAACAATTCAAGTTGGAACCGTTAGTATTACAGAAGAAATTCTAAACATTTTTTGTAAAACTCTGAATGTACATCTTTTAACCATGTTCTTTAGCTATTTAGATGTTAATTACAGGAACTGTTCAAAGTCGTAATTACTAATATTATCAAAAAGCTGAACTTATAATATCTACTTTTATAAAACCTGCTAGGTATGTACAGGGTAGCGCCACTTTGGTATATCACCTCCACCTAGATTTGAACAAATAATAAAGACCTACTGACACGGTAACGTTTTTAGTTCGTTACATGTCTTTGTATATGATATATGATGTCTGGCGTATCATCACCGGGGAGTGATAACGTCCTTCTCTCGTTCAGGCCGGATAATTTATTTGACGCGCTTGGCGTAATTTTTACGTTCTCTAGTCAGCAACCCTGCTATCGTTTCACTGCTCTCTGGAGGCGCTGTCAACATCGCTCCAAGGTCTCTCTGCGCTGTGGACTCACTTTTGCTTTTGCCGCTCTACGATCACCTTCAGAGCCCTGCTTGGAGAAATTGCAATTATTTAAATCTTGCTGTATAATTTGAATCAGCTGCTATTTCGAAGCTACAGGTAAAAATGAGATATTATCTTTATTAGATTTGTTATTATTATTGAATATTTTTAGGGTAGAGTTACGGATGTCCCAACTTAACTTGTATTTGTATTTTGCTGGCACGTTGGCGTTCCTTTGCTTGTGTCCTCCAGAATGTGTATTGGAAGAAAGGACAAGGTCTTTGTTTATTATAGAGCCCTCGGAAGTATTTCGAGGTAGGCCTGTTTTGTTTATTAGACCTTCTTTGATTTTAAACAAGAGTTTCGTATTTTTAGGGTCTTATGGGCGGACATTATCTTATGGACGGGCATTATCTTATGGACGGATGTCCAAGTTACGGACATTATCCAAGGTACGGGTAGTGTCCCCATATTGCCGCAGTATGGATGTAGCGTAAGCACCATGCTGTTTCGTTCCCATTTCCAAGCCTAGTCAGTATTTACGGCTGTATTGATTCATGGTGTCCTCATTCTGGCCTCTTTTGTTGTATTAGCCAACAGGATCGCCGACAGACAGTACAGAGATATGAGCCCACCTCACGCTGCTACTCTTTGAAACAGGATAGCCTGAAGAACATCTAAGTGTAGATTTAGGGTCTGGTTTTCAGTCGATTTTCAGTCTTAACATAATAACGTACATTTTAAATAATATCGTACAGACCATTATTAAGAACATTTATGTCGATTTAGTAGATACAATATGATTTAGAGATCTTAGGTTTCATTACATTACGTCTTGTAATAGTATTACTTTCTATAGATATTATTATTGCGCTGTGTTAACAGATGAATAACCAGACATAGATTCTAGAATCTACGGGTTGCAACATATTCGATGTAACATCATATAAAATATATCAAATTAATTAAAGTAATGCTACTTTTTATACATTTTCTATAACTTTACATGTATGGTATTTTTTTATAGTCTTTTCATTGAATATATTTAATATTATTTCTAACATAGCTTAACTCGGCATATAACCACTATAATAATTATTAAAATTGTACCATACTATTTACCATCAGAATACATCATGAATGAATATAGTCACTAGTTTTAAGTAATAAACAACTGTGTTTTCTTTCTCTGTTCATGCCTGGCGCCCAATATTTATAATTTCGAGTTATTATTGTTAATTAGTTCTTTCCAGTGAAATACCTTATCCACGACTGCTCTACCAACGAAAAGCTGCCGTTCGCAGTGGTAATGTTTTATAAAAAAACGCTACAACACTGAATCATAAACATGAAACTATCTAGGAAAAGCTTTGTCTGAGGGTTAGGTTAGCCAACCTAACCTTCATAGTGTTTTGGAGATGGGTGTTCCATTTAAAATAAAAGAGTAACTTGCTTTTAAATGTGACCAAGGTTCAATATTAATGTTGTCTAACCGTGTATAACTTTTTGGCTGAAGTTTTAATTTGATTTAAAGGGTTTACAATGGTTATTTAACTTACCTATACTTACTGCCATTATTCGCTGACGATTATTTGAAATGAATCAGAAGTTGGCTAAGCAAGGTGTTACCTTCCATGAACTTTTCTGTAACTGAAAAGCCCAATACATGATGTTATCTCTTCCGTAATCCGGACATTCAAAAATCTCATTACATTGTTGCCCCTTTACCAGAGTACGTAGATCGCCGAGTAGCGACAGAAACCGTCGGCTCTTTTGATGTGGTGGGACCAAATTTTCTTTCTCTCTCTTTTGACGTGTTTGACAGATAGACTACGTATTTAACTGCTCAACTTATGAAGTGGTCCTATAAACATGGTATACACTGCTCACAATTTGAAGTGGAATTAATTATTAAGTTTTATACATATCTTTTTTGTTTTGTTTTATCCTTATTTCTAAATTTAAATGTATAAAATATCTTACTGCTAATAAATAATTAAAAAAACGATTCGTTGCCTGAGGTATACTTGAAATAAAGTATATAGAGATATTTGATAAATGGCAACAGTGGCAACTTCGCTTCTTCGTATGACAGATAACCTACTTATTTCGCGCAGCCGCAAAGAAAATTGAAAATGGGACTGTCGCTACTCGTCGGTTTAGGTACTCTGCCTTTACTTCTTGGTTGTCGTTGTTAATTGAGTTTACAATTCTTCTCCATTGGGTTCTGTTGTGCGCTATTTCCTAGCAGTGATTCTGCATGCTTTTGCACATATTAGGCTATACCAGATAAATTCCAAATTAGATAACTTTTATTGAAATTTAAAATGTATTCTTTATTTTTAAAAAATATTAAATATATGTCAAATACGTTACGTTTTAGGAATACTATGCTTCTTTAAGGAAACTTACCTTTATTTTTGTCCTAGAATACGGTTCCACTACAACAAACACACCTTTCATGTGTAACTTTTTTGGAGAACTCTATATATTTAAAAAAAAAGCTCTAATTTAACCTTCATATTATGCTCACAAAATTTCATTTAAATACAAACTGTCGTTCTCCTTGCAGCTTCCGCGTCGTATGAGAGACGCCATCCTGTATATGTATAAATTTTGGAAAAAATCTTTCTTAGAAAAGAAATTTCACTTGTAAATAAATCGTGATATAGACTTCAAATGTAAATCATAATAAAGGCCCGTCGCCTTGACTTGTCTTAAGTCAAGGTCTTTATATCAGAATTAATATTTCGACGTTCTACATCATTCCCCTAAAGCATGACCCACTTACAGGAATCACCCTGTAAAATTTATAAACTAGCAGCGGTACTAATCACAAAACATTAGACCTAAAGTTTTATAGGTATGTGTAATACTAAAATGAGTTAAAAGCTCGGACATACAGAACGTGATCTGACGTGGAACGGAGAGATATCTGCATACGGTATACATGATATCTATTTGTAAATTAAACTTAATATGGAGGTATTATATCCACAACAAATAAGGGTCCGGAATATATCATGCTGCCTTTCAACTAAACTGAGTAACTGGGTCATTAAGTATTAACATTACTAGATATTAACTAAATTTAAATTTCTATACAGCTCATAACTAGTATCCTAAGAAAATTCTGACAAGGGCACTGAAAGTAGTCATATTAAGTATATTACATTGATATGCAAATAAAATCAAACAATATCGAAATCAAATTCTACAGTATGTCCCCGGATTGTCTTTACAAAAGGAAAAACTTTTTTATTATTGACATTTTGAGAACAATGCCTTCCTAAAATTTAAAAAACGTCCTGGTTAACTTAGTAGTAGTACTGGTACAACGGAAGAAATGACTATCTGACTATCCAGTCGACAAAAAAATAGAAAATTGCACCCGGATTATCTTTACAAGAGGAAAACGTTTTTTATTATTGACATTTCAGAAAAATTAATTCTTTATAAAACAAATTGTTTGTTCTAAAATGGTTAATCCTGTTTATACTTTTCCAAATTTCCATACCGTTTTAGAGAAAATTAAGAAAAACATGAAAATATGGCTGAATTTTTTTTAAGTCCTAAAAATCAAAAGGCGGTTCTATGGTAATATCAATTTAATTTCATTCTTTGATAGATCAGTATTATTAATTTTGAGTACTATCATATTCTTGCTGTTAAAGTATGATATTTTCCGGTATGATATTATCACCCTTTCCGTAGCATTAAACTAAATAAATTTTGTGTTTCTTTGACATTTCAAAACAGCAAAAAACATTACGATAATTAAAATTCTATGAATTACAATCTATCAAAAATAA